ACTTGCAATTTTTCAAATGACGAAAGGGATGCCGAAATATGAAAAATTATAGAGATGACTGCACGTATACCAGTTAGGCACGTGCGCTTGATAAGATTCGGTTTAAAGTACTTTAAACGCGTAAAATTAGCTCTAACACAGTGGCATTTAAGAGAGCGCTTAACTGAAACTTCGTCATATGACGAATTATCACGCGAAATGAGGCGTGTTTAAAATATTTCACGTGACGGCAAAGATTACGCTATCTCGCGATTATGACTTAAAAAAAGAGCTTCTTCCTGTTTCTTGCAATTTTCGAAAATTGCATACGCGGCGTGTTTGCTCGCTTATGCGTCTCAGGGTTAAGATCGCTTTGATACCGGAAAGCGGCGTCGGCATCGTGCGCTTATCGGCGCTCGTTTAAGTGCCAACTGTCAAGGACCCGGTGTTATCATTTTTCCGCGTGTTAGGCGGCTCATTAGGCTCGCTCGTTCCGACAGAAAATACCAGTGTTTTCACGTTCCGACTTTTTTTCGCGTATCTCCACCGATGTCGCCGTCATCGTCGGCGGCAGTCACGTCCTTGCGCGGAGTGAACGTTGAACCCCAGTGACAAGAGAAACGACCAACACACAGCCTCTCGATAGCTCATATTTCCCGTGAATCATCCGTCGCTTGTGTGTGTAGAATTGGTATTTAAAATTGCGAATTCTCTCTCTCTCTCTCTCTCTCTCTCTCTCTCTCTCTCTCTCTCTTTGTTTGTTTATTCCGGGTCTCAATAATAAATAAAATAAAATAAAGCGAAATGATAAAAAATATTCTTCGCGAATTTTTGTTAAAATTTATTTGAAATAATAGTAGAAGCGAGAGAGAGAGAGAGAGAATTCGTCCTATTAATCAATCAGAGACTTTTTCTCTTTGACGTGAAAATAAATGGATGCCATGAGTTAATATAAGATAAATTTTTATGCTTGAATCTAGAGAAATTATGGCGCTGTAACATAATACATCTCGCATCATTTTATACCTCATTGTCAGATTTAAAGAATTTGCTGACGTATTTGGGAGTAGCTGTAATTCTGTCAATGTAAATTTTAGGGTTAGTCTACGCAAGAGAAGTATTGATCTCTTTTGCATAAAAAAAGTAGCGAGAGGTTGGATTTTAGTGACAAAATGTTCTGTGATGTACAAAAACATGTTTTGATCGCAACGCGGTCCACATGGTATCATTATTATCATCAAATGCTTTCTCGTTTGCTCTACGCGATGAATATTATGTTTTTCGTTGAAAGGTCACGAGATCCCCCTTAAATAACATACATTCAAATATGCGCGCTCTTCATTATTTCTATTATCTCTCTGTTTGCTAGTATATTTGATTCTCATTTATCATAGTTAAATTTTGACATTTTAAGTGAACGGTGTTGGACATTATATTAATATGAGATAGGCACATAAAAAAAATATTTCTATACATGTTATAGAAATATAATACTAACAAAAAATATTTAATTTATATAAGTCTTTTTTCATTTCATTAGAACAGGACACATTCTTGAATACTCATTCCTTAATTCTCTAATAAGTTCATTCTTCAAAAAGGCATATAAAATCAATTACTCCACTCTTAAAAAAGGCGAATAAAGTCGATTATTTGCATATATTGAAGCTTATTATTCTCGCTTTTTCGCGATACTGATTGGTTGTCTCGCTGCACTTACTCCGTGAGCGGCTGTCTCATCTGTCATCGTATATTTTGACAGTTGTGCGTATCGAGGGGTTAATAGTGTAATACAATGTAATTGTATGCATTTAAGCGTTGTTAGAATAGCGAAGCGCGCGTCTGTGATATCTAATAAATAAGATAAGGCTACTATATAAACTATTATATGTACTTGTATAGTTATAAAAAACTATAGAAATTTCAGTAATGCGTCAACTTATTGTTAGAAGAATTAGGCCTATCTATAATAAATAATATTAAACTCAGTTACTAACAGAAAAAAAAGAAGAAGAAGATGCAATTTTTTTCTTTACATTATTTTTATATAGAGCTTATGATTTTGATAGAAAAAATACAAGCTTCATAATGACGAACTATTCATCAAAATTAATAAAGCCCAACAGTCGATATAATGTAAGTCTGAGCGACATTAATTTCAAGATAAGTAAAATGGTTTTTAAAGTCTCAATGAGAAGCGAGATGGTGTTCCTTGGTATAAATTCGCAATCTAACAAAATTGTCATGAATCGTTCGACTTGATATCGCCCGATTCGATTGACGTATAATGTGAAGAAACGAAGAAGCCGTCGATAAATCGGCAGATGATTTTATGTGTCTTCGAATTATCGAAAGCATACGTGGTACTCCATCGATTCCATTACGACCTTCGAAACGCGATAAAATACATTTGAATTATCGAAAATTTTATATTTAGATCACAGTATCTCCGGGACTTCCATAAAATCTTCTTAAATTAACGCGATGTAATTATCACGAGATATTTTGCGATTAAATAATCATCAAGATTAGCCGTGACGATAATTGTCTCGTTAAATCTTGAATATATTTCAATATACAGTATAACCACGTACAATATTAAGTGAACGTTGATTAATTAAATTATCTAAATATTAAAAAAGCTATCACTATTTGAATAATCCACATTCGATTAATAATCGATAATCGATTTTTTTTAATTAGATACTTATATACAAATAGATTTAAAGAAGTTTATCTAAAGTATCCCCGAAACAATATTATGAAATAAGTATAACATTTTTAACATTTAAAAGATCAAATAAAATCTCTTTAATTCTGATTTTATTAAAAACTTGAAAAAAGAAATTTCTTAAAAGAAAAGAAAAATTATACTATTTTTTCATCAGAATATTTTTATTTTTAACTTGAATAAATAATTCAGAAACATTGATACGTTTGTATTGTTTCGACGATCGACAATGATGACGACGACAAGGAAAGCGGATAAGTGTGACGGGGCGCCTCGTTATCGTTATCAGCGCGTTCTCCGCTGACAAACATCGGTTAGTTGCCCCGCGTGAAAATACACAATTGCTATCGTGGCGTACGAGAATAACGTTTATGGGTGGTACGATGGTAGCGTCGACCAATAGGACCTGCCGTCGTAGTGCCTTACCCCCGTACACGTGACCCCACAAACCGCTACTACGTCATTATCGCCGTTGACCCCGCGGGGGCAAAATAATAACGTGATATTTAATAATGCGCTGGCCGACCGAAACATGCCAACATATTTTTTGCGTGCACACTATCGAAATGTGACGTGCTCTCGTGGGCCGATTATCTCGATGTGCCGTAAATCACCCGATACGTGGGCCAGCCAGCTCCACTTGGGGATGATTACAGCGAGTTTTCGATTCATACGACCCAGATCACGCGTCAAATATAATTAACGCTAATCTTTATAAACTGGATATGATTAAAAAGATATATTCAATAAGTATATATAGAAGATATTACTGTGTATATATGTGTGTATATACAGAAGATTCATCACTGAGCATTTGTATACTTGTATAATTTCTTATTTCATACTTACTTTATATTTAAATTTTAATACAAAATATTAAATTCGACGTAAGTAGATTTATAGCTGAATATAATTTCAGAAACATCATAAATAAAAACACTTTTATGACATCGTAAATATTTCTAAATAATCTATACATTAATTAATATCTCAGCTGAAGATATAGATAGGACTCACCAAATTGATAAATCGTCAAAAAAAGTCTTCCCGAGCCATTCGAAAGGCTGAAACATAAAAAGAAAAACAATTATATGTAGATATCATGAAAAGTAAAATCTCTCTGAAATAATTACAAATATATTGCAACTAAATATAAAATTTATATTCATATTTATTTAAAAAGAATAATTTTAAATAAAACAATAATATATGTTCTACTAATTTTTAATTTCTTGCTGTAATATAACATAATGTTTAATAAAAAATGATTTAACATATTCTGTATGTACTATTGGAAATGATAATGAAAATAAAAATATCCTGTACACAGATATACCGCCATCATACAAGGCTGCTTTGAAACGATTTGTATCAAGAATGCGAAGCCGATAAAGTTGAAATCGTATACAAATTTTACTTAATCACACATATTTTTAATAATAAATGATTAAAAATATAAATTATTTTATTAAATTAAAAAATTTATAAAAATATTAACTTCTCTTTCTTTTTAAATAAATTTAAATAAAATGTGACACGTATTACAACAAGAAAAGTAACATAAAAATAGGAAATCTTAGGAATTCTGTAATGTCCAATTGTTTCAATTGAGTATTAAAATACAGCTTTATCAATTAAATACTTTGTAATTTTTTATCTCAGCAATTTCATATTTGAAATCAATATTTTTTAATTTAAATAATTTTTTTATTTTTTATATATCCTTTTTTCTGTTAATAATTACATACTCTTTCTGTTAAATAATCTTTAATAATTTTCATCAAAAGTATAAAATATTAAATTTACTTCTTTATACAATACACATACAATGCGTTGTATCGTACCAACAGTTGGTCATGTCAATATCATCTTATTACATCTAGAATCGACTTTGAAACACGCAATTAAATATGTATGTAACTTATCTACCAACTCTAAAGCTACATTCCAAAACGTTGCTTACGAGGAAAATTTTAAAAAGCTATAGCATGCGTAACGCAAATTATAGCTTTTTATTAAAATTTTCTTCGAAAGGTTCGTTTAGAATGTAACTAATATTTGTAATAATATCTTGCCGACATACGAGACTATGTTTCATGATCAGATATATCCGACACTTTCAAAATTACCGATTGAGTATGAGCTTCGAATGTACCGCGGGTACTTCAAGTATATTCTTGTCAGATAGGTAAGTTGAATCCGGGTTCTGGATTTTATCCACTGCAGAGAGATACCCGAGTCATGAAAGTGGCGAAAAGATGGAGTGTGGAAAGTGTATTTCAAGGCTCTTTGTCAAAGTAATATCGACATAATTCTGCGTCCGTAAACGTTTCCGCTCGTTACCAAGGAAACTGTTCTTTCGAGTATTTTCAGAGTGTCTCGTGTAGAATAAATCAACGGCAAACGAACGTCAAAAATCATCTTTTTGCTTGCAAAGGTAAAATTTATAATATTTTTTTCCACTAGCTCAATGATTCGGTTTTTTTTGGGGAGGGGGGGGGGGCAAAACATAAATAATCAACGTTCTTGTACTGGGGGAATTTCATTACTGTAATAAAATTATCATTAAGTAACAAAAGCATATTTGTCATCGGAATTTTTAACATATCATTCATAAATTTTTTACTTTACTTAATTAAAAGAAAATGAAATAACGAATGTATTTTAAAAAACTGATGGAAAATTTTTATAATAAGCAAGAATTATATTTCTCTAATAAAAATTAATTTTTAAAGATATATAATTAAAATATAAAAATAATATTAATATTATACATATATGCTTTTTCTTGTATGTATTTGTTGTATATGTATATGTATGAAGATGTGTAAAACTATGTGAAGCTAAACAAAGAAATTTAATAACAGTATTCCGATGATGATCACCAGTATTGAAAATCTATAATTCACGTTGCATATACTTATAGAGATTTTCAGTACTATAGCAGTGAATATTTAAATGCACTTAATAATAACATTAATGTTCAAAAACAATAAATTTAATTTAACTTTTTATAAATATGAAGAAAAACTTGTTCTATATACAGATTAATTTAGAGAGTTCAGGTTTTAATATTTGTTATAATATTTAATAATAATTCAAATAATATAAATTTAAAATCTAATTAAATTTATTTTAATATTACAAAAAGGTAATGAAAAAATAAAGAATCGTTATTTTTCAAGTAACGGTAACGCGTTATTTTTGAAAATCAGTAACGAGTTACTTTTTATATATAATACATCACAATAATAATAATGCGTTACTTTTTTAAGGTAACATTCCCAACTCTAATGGTTATAAGTATGGCAGAGCCAAAAGCTTATCGGGAACGATCGTATTCCTTATCGCGACTGCCGCGGGCCGCGGGCGTACAAGTCCCACAGGTGAAATGATCAAAGTTCGCTAGGTGCCGCGCCACTCGTGCCTGTCCTCGTCAATTTACACGTAATATGTCACGTAGAAGGTACGGAATTGCTGCGGGGCGTCTTTGATCTTGCCAGCTCACCCGGCCCCTTCGGACCCCGCCGTGCCCCTGTCCACCTTCCGAAAACCTACCCTCCCGAGTCACGCGCCACGTATGCGCCAAGGCGGGGATGGCAAAATCCAATTTTATTATTTGCACGCTTAGACGCAGCCGAATTACACGATTCTACGCGTAACGCGAAAATTTGCCCCTCCGAGCGTATTCCACGAGTAAAGTGCAAAATTTTCTCGTTTTCTGCAGGAAAATCTTCACTTACACATCGAAGTGTGCGTATGTGTGTATACAATGCTTCGTACGAATAATACGGGTGAGCTGGAATATACATTCTTTGCATAAGATAGGAACAATTATTTAGCCATGCAAATGTGTATACATATATAATTATTATATGTATAGATATAGTCTTATATGTTCGCAATAAGTTCTTCGCAGTATTTTAAGATGCTTATAAGCATTGAATTATTAAGAAATGAAGATCAATCGTGGTCTCACTATTCCAACTTTAGCTAATGATTGCGTTGCAAGTCCGAAATTTATTCGACGTGCAGTTTAAATAGCTGAACAATGAATTTAAAAATTTATATAAAATTTATTAGGCACCAAGCTCCAGTTGAGATCATAGAAGGCGATCTCAACTTTATTTGTATTATAAGCATACTATACTTTTTATTGTTGATATACATATATTCATAATTTCTTTAATTTCTTTCGTCCAAGTAAATGATTTACATATATCTGTATTTATCTTTTTAAAATGTTTAATTAGAAATAGAAGTATTTATTGTACATATTTGTTCCTGCTGCTGACATAATACACATTTTATTGAATACATTTTTTAGAATTTTCTCAATTATATGATAATATACTCGTATTTTTATACAAAGAAAAATAAATACCAAAAAAGAACTTGGTAAAAATCAAAAATAAATTTAAAAATTTCTTCCACGTCGTGGCTAGATTTTGGTGTTTAGTAATAATTCTATATGAATATTTAAATTCACTATTCATCCATTTAAACTGCGCGCCAAATCAATGTCGGACTTGCAACGCAATCATTAGCTGAAGCTAGAAGAGTGAGATCACAATTGATCTTCAATTCTGAATAATTTGATGCGAATTAATAAGCATCTTAAAATACTACAAAGAACTTATTGCGAACTATGTAAAAATTTGTAAAAGTCGGGACTTGTGTATTCAAATTAGACGTTTTCTAGTCTTGGATTAATGAATTTAAGGTTTAACAGAATATCTCTTAACAAAGAATTGAAAAGCGCTGCGTCAAAAATCTAAATAATGAGAGTAGAATGAAAACGGCAAAAAATCGTAGGAGAGCGCGAGACCGACTTGCCGATTCGTACTTGCAGCGGTCGTAGATCATTCTATTGTGCTAAAGGGGGTGTGTACACACATTATAACAGAAGCACAATAGCGATTGCCGATGTGTACACACAGCGGGGACGGCGACGGCGACACAGAATGTGCGGTGTTTGGTCTCCATTAATTTCGGATCGACTGCAGGCCACCTATCTCTCTTTTTTTTTTATGAAGCCCATATGTCTGCCGTGCGTCGCGTCCCCGTGCTCATTTGTCAGTTCGCAGTCTGCCGCTCCGTTGCGATTTGATGGCGACAATCAAAACACGCCGACACGTTTTTCAGCAAACAGCAAACGCGTCGGTTTCCCGAAATCTTGAAATTTCAAGTGTCAGCGAGGGGAAAAAATGGCATTTTCATCGCGCGAAATCATGGGAGCTTGTCTCATATATATATTTCTCTCTTTGCGTTCGCAAATTCTTCACGCATTTGTACAAAAGACGTTCTGTATAACGGGTTATGTGTTACAAATATTAGCATTCAAAAGTATCTGTCGACGTTATTACTAATTGCAAAGAAATACATTTTCTAAGTAATAATTACCTTAGTAATTATTTCAAATGTTTATAACAATCGCAAGATAACATGAAATTATGGCATATAATTTATTCGATTCTCAAAAAAACATTTTTATGAAGAGACATGGAAGTCCAATGATAGTAATCGATAAATTAAATTCAAGATTGCTTCCAATCTTGAATTTAATTGTTTTTTTTTTATTTTAGCCATACATATATACGTATATAGTAACGTATATTTTCTTGGAATAACATCTAAAACTGCTACTCTCAATAATGAGAATAAAACTGCGATATATCCCCTCGATATCAATAAGTCAATGAAGCATCGGACCGTATCATCATCTCGCGGGCGAGAGATCGCGTAATGTACGAACAGTGACGTAGAAAATTGCGGTGCTATTCTACGTAGGACGGGCCGAGGAGGGGTGCTACGGGCGAAGGCAGGGCTGGCAGGAAATACCGAAAGGGCGAGGAAGGGTCCGGGCATCCCCACGGCGCGTATAATATCAATGGACGATAGCTGGGTTGGCGATGATCGCGTCACATTAGCAGTCGAGCGTTCTATGAGCCACTGCCACATCGCGCGGCTACATATATATATGTATACATACGTGCAGGGACTCGTGCATATATGTACATACATACGATATATATCCTTGGTGGTGGCGATGTCACCCCAACGGGGCGCGCGGCGCCTTCAGATGTAAAATAAACGACACCTAATTATACGCGGCCCGGTCTGCGTGAAAAGGGCCGGCCGACGGAAGAACCCCGCAAGTGCGTGCGAAGGTGGCCGCCTGCTTAATGGGATTACAAAATTACAATTTAGATTGATCGCCCGGTGCGGCGGTATTTATGGGCTGCGGGCGGCGAAGTGCTCGTGGATGTATTTCGATATTGTTTCTCGCCGTATATCGATAATAATATCTCGCCACCGTTCAACTCCTCTCGCGCCAGATAACGTCCGTAAAATTTATGACGGGTCTTTAAATGCAACTTCTTTTGTTTCGCTCTGTGACAATGGCAGTTTGTTTTACATCATTTATACTTCAAGTATCGATTAAAGATTGGAAGGCATTTTAATTATCATTTGTTCGCTAGACTTTGCGGAAGCTTGATAAAATCCTTTCTGACATTGGTATTTCAGCTTCGGTATCAAGTTTCGGTATCGAGCTCTTATACCACTTAGACATTCCCTTTGCCCCGTAAGCGCTTTTAATGCACTTCAGGAGAAAGTGCAAACATCTTTTGTTGCCGAGTTTAATATTTCCCCGCGGCGCAGCCACACGCAAAAATGTCGCTGCACAGTGACGACTTCGACATCTGGATGTAGCTCGTAATATATGGAGGTGCCTGCGTGACAACGCTCGTATTTTTTTTTTTCCCCCCCAGCTTCGTGGGCTGCCAAGGGGGTGGCTCGCCGCGCCGTGGGTGTGCCAGGCGATGATTAATTAGCGTTTGATGAATATGTATGAGAGAAAGGCGACCGCGACTCTGACGTATGTATACACGTATACCCGCGCGAGAGAGCACGCGCGTATATGTATACGCGTATACGTTACGTTGTCGGGTACATCCCTCGCGTTACAATAACGCCCAACCCCCTTCGCATACCTCGCTTCAAACCCCGAACCGCCGTCGCTCCGCGTTTCACCTCGACGGATTCTGCGAGTCCTCCGTGAGCTGTTTAACGATTCGTTCCCCATGCGAGGTAACGCCGGTTAACGTTGCGCGATGATCTACGTCGTCTCTATAAATTTACGTGAAAAAAAATCACGTCACCGAGAGAGAAAAAAAAACATCAGAAAATATAACGTCGTACATCACGCAATGAGGTTTATTCTTTTGATTATTTAAATGATATCTATAATGAAGCGTGTATCCGATAAGATAATTACAGAAATATTTCCTATATATTTTTTGTAATTATTTGTATACAAAAAAAATATCTTTTTATATTTTTTATTATACAAATAAAATATGAGAATATGCTATGCAGCTATTTATTGAATGCGATATATTATTTCACTCTGAACATAATTCAGTAATCGTTGCGATTAAAAATTAGAGAGCATCGAGCTTTCCGTTACGCATATGTTTGAAGCGGCGGCGGATTAAAAATTCTCTGCGTCGATATGGATATTTCCGATCGAATAAGCATTCGATGGACATTCGTCGGCGAGATACGCGTTGTTTTCGCATCGCATCGGGGCAAAATATCAAGCGCGAGTGGCGGACGAGAGGGGTGGGGGAGGGGGAGGCCGAGGGGGTTTAGATTTCGCCAAAACGCGAGGCTGAAAGGCAAGCGCGGCGCGCGGATTGTTCGCGCCGCGAGGAGAACAATGCAAACAATGGCCGGGACGTAGCGCTGCGGTGAGCCCGGGCTTACGCGGCGAATACAATTACATTATGAACCCGATTACCATTTAAATGGAAACAAACGTGAAATGCTAAAATACACCGGCGAGCCCGCCCGCGCGACGCACGAAACCGCGCGAGCACCCCCCCTCGATCATCGGTATGCAAATTGTGCACGAGCATTGTATACGGAATGTTCCACACTTACCGAAAAATATTTCACGCACGGACTCTTTGATGAATGCGGAATCGAGCTTTTTCTTTAGCAATAATACTGCTCAACTAATAAAAAATTCAATTCATATAAAAGCAAGATTATTATTTTTTTCAACTAATAAGTATCTGTATCGTAAAATGTATGTGTATATGTATATACAGGTTGTTCCCGGGTTAAACCGCCAAACTTAAAATATAAATTCAGGACCTGAAAACAAAAAAAAATTTTTCTCTGGACGTATGCTCGCTAATGCTTCTTTCAAGAGATATTTACTTATGACGATACAGAACTGTATGAATGAATAATTGAAATATCTTTTGTTTTTGTTTTGAAGTTCGAAAGTGCAAGCGTGCGAAGAAATTACGGACGCACAATGTCAGTCAGCCACTCGTTCTGTCATTGAAAGCTGCAATGCTTGTCCTCCGGACTGGAGGCCATCATTTTGAACAAAACATTTAATGTAATAACTAATTTTGATTATTGTAATGCAATAAAGAGGATACACCTTGTTTCGACATTATTTATTCATACAGTTCTGTAACTTCATAAGTAAATATCTCTTGAAAGAAGCATTAGCGAGCATACGTTCAGAGGAAAATTTTTGTTCGTTTTCAGGTCCTAAATTTATATTTTAAGTTTGGCGGTTTAACCCGGGGACACCCTGTATAATGTCAATTACTAGTATATATTTATGTTTACAAACATAAATTACAATTAACACAATTAAAAATAAGCGTAAAGAGACTTATTGGTCAGAGCTGGATCTTTGTATTATCCTTAATAATACTTTTATGTGAATTTATATATATATGTATTTTACAGTTCTGCAAACTGCGCATGATTATTTATCGATGTTGAAACACGGTCTTAAACTGAAGCTAAAGCTGGAATAATAATATCTCAAATTAAATTGATAATTTAATTCAGCTCTGAAGACTCTTTTCATTTATTTACGTTATTCACACATGTCAGTCTATTTTCACTTATTATTGTAAATTACAATTGTTCACAATCTAATTTTTGTTTGTGATTCAATTTTTTAAAATAAATCGCAAAAATGGATGCAATATTTCACTTGATAATTATACTAAACGCGTATGAAAAATAAGTTTTCCACGCGATGTGATAGATCGTAAGACAGAACGTTTAACGTGACCTATCGGCACCCCGACTCTAATTATTATGCACTTAATTTCCTAATGAAGCGCATCGAGCGAGGGTCGTGGAAAACGACGCGCTCGTGCACTGATTTCACGGGCCACCTGTCGCACCGACGCCTCATCCGCCCTATTCGTTTCGTCGCATCGGTCACGCAGGGTGTAAGACATTATTCTACACGGAGGGTAAGCGGACCGCACCGTGGAAACTAGCTCTGACTTATTTATGAAAATCGTAAATGGAAACTCTACTTTCGCTGTGATCTAATTTCTTACTATCATGTATTTCAATCATTTCTCTTAATATTCCTTTTTTGTAATTGATATTCCCTTTTTAAAAAAAAGGAAGTTATGTATATATTTTCAGGAAGTAGAAATAAGTAGAATAAAGATTTTTCTGCTTATTGTTAGAATTTAAAAGAAAATGCACGCTTTAAAATTAATATAAATAAACTATCCATAATTATATTTATATATGCTAAACAAGATATTTATAAGTATTTAAAATTATTACAAGTTTACAAGATATGTAACCGATGTTGTATAAAATTCAAACCTACAGGCTTAATATACATATGTAAAAACCAAAGATTTAGTTTATGACTTCCGACGGCACTGAAAACTGTTATTCTGGATGTCGAATGCACGCTGGTGATGCAGGGGAGTGTTGTTTGAATCGGTTCGGATGTTTCCCAACAAACCAGACTTTCCCAGTTTTCGTCGTCCTCATCATATGTCGCCGTTTGGACACAATGCCAGGCGAAACGACAAATATGTCAGATCGCGAGAAAACAAAGGGAAGCGCGCCGGGCGTCGGAACGCCCCTTGGACTCAATCGATTAGAAGTGTCCACCTTCTCAGGAGTGAACTGCTCGCACCACCAGTTCGACCAATTCGATCACTTTTTTTTTTTCCTCCGCCCAATTCGATCGATCTTTCGAACGGATCGACACCGGTCGACAACCAAGCCGGAATGACCGTGGAAAAAAATTAAGTGGGAGCAAGAGATGTTGACAAATCTCGACGACTACTCTTCCTCGGCGCACAGCATCATCGTGGAACAGACGGTCGTCGACAAAAAGGGGGGTGACTAGGGGAGAAAGGGGGGAGGGGTTAGGTGGATCTCTTTCCCTTAGATAGATAGGTAGGTGCGGTCAGTGTCACGAGGGCTCACAAAGGCTGACCGCCGGTAGGGGCATTCAAATGGTAATCGGCTCGCGCGTCTAACGTACACCGACGCGCCCTACACCCAACCCCCAGCTTCAAGGGGGTGCGAGAGAGCGGGCGCACCCCTCGGCACACAGCCGAGCACATTCGCACCAGAATCAAGCCAAATATTGGCAATATCATCCCCTGGCATTGTCCCTCGCCGCGACCTGCCTCCTGCCGGCCACCGCCGTTCGGTGGGAAACGATGTCCATTTGAATGCGCGATTCCATTACCGATGCCGGTATATCGGCCCGAGAATATTACCGGATTAGGATTTAAAGGGAAGCGGAATCGCGGGGCAGTCGTAGGAACTCGGTCATTTCTGCGGAATACGCCGCATTGCTGCACAGTGCGAAAGTAAACACGGTGAAGTTGAAAAAGTAAAAGGACAGACTTTGTTCTTCATATTTTTCATTTATTGATTATGCAAGTAATTTTAAGTAATATGAAACTTAAATAAAATAAACAAAAGCGCAATTTAAGAAATTATATCTCTCTGAGAATAAATATTTCACATAATTATTAATTAAACACGCTAACAAAATGCAGTAAATTAAATTTTGTTTTAATTAGAAATTGCATTTGTATGTATTATAAAATTTCTTTTTTGTACATACTTTTATATAAAACATTGCAAAAATCAATTTCTAAAATTATTTCATTTTTTTTTTGTCAGCCAAAGAATATGTGATTGCAGTAACATCACAATATCGTAAATTAACGAAAGTTAATTAGTTAATCCGCACTTCCAGAAGATACGTAAAATTACGGTCATTACCGCGATCACGTATCTTGCTTAATTAGCGTCATTTCGGTCGGAGCACACTTGATGCGCTTATGATAGTCGACGGTAATCCGGTTCAGGTCGTTGCGCCGATTATCTCGTAAAACGCGCTGCCGCGCGGGCCCGCGCGGACGAGAGCGGACGGACGGACGCGTCCGTTTGACGTTCACGAATAGATCTGTGCGATTCGCGATCGCTGTTGATTCAGGGTGTGCAACGTCGCACGTGCGCCAGTGTAGACGCACGCAAAGCTCCCGCAACCCGAACTTCAGCACGCGCCACGATTACGCGATTACGCGATTACGCGTGTCGTCTCCCCATCGTACAGCCCGGGCTGACGCCCCGAAGGAGAGAGGTCGAGCAAGCAATGACGCGGAAGATGATTCGCTCCCTCCCATCATCCACGAGAGGCGAATCTACGTTACGTAATAAACCGGGCATCTGCCGAGAAAAAAGGAGCACCGCTTTTTTTTTTTCGTCACGTTCGAGATCCATTTATCTAATAATATCAGGATTATACGACTCGATGTCTACTAAAAAAGTATGAGAGTGACGCGCGATTATGTCTCTATGTGGCAGTACCTTCAATGAAAAACTTTTCTAAAAACTCGCAAATTGACAAGCAAAAATAATGGAAGCATAATGAAAGATTGATAATGGTTTACAGTAAGAGCACCAGAATCCCTATCAACGAGTGGAATATTATTTTCTCTTTATGCGTCTCAGAATCCGAGGCACACAAGGATGCATTTAAAATGGCATGCGTATGTACTGGCCGGGATTTTGCGCGTCGCCTACGCAGCACAGCGGGAATTAAAGGACAGGCAGGAGGGAGTGATACGCGTACGCCGTCGGCACGAGTCGACACGTGGCGGTAGCGCTTTATACAAACAGCATTATGCACGCTCGCGCTAACATAAATTACTGCGGGTTTAATATTGGACGTCGGCGTTGGCCGTGGCCGACCACCTCCTGAGCAAAATACGTTAAATGCGGGAAGAGCCCGGATGCGGTGCAACCGCGATTCGCGATTTCTCGGCTTATACTCGAGAAATTTCTCGAAGATCTGATACACCGGGCGTGCAAATAATGACAATTACAACGCATCGCGTTGCAACAAGATTATGCGTGTATAAAAAAATGGAAAATCATTTTAATTCTCACAATCAGATTAATTTCGATGTCATTTTTTCTCCGAGATTTTTTTGTTGTAGATTATATAATAGTTTGGACATCTCAAACTGCTACAAATACAGGTTTGAACTTATTAGATTCAAATAGTCTGCTTGCATTTCTATCCCTGCTTCGGATGAAGCTCATCTCTGCCGGAAGCGACATCGATCGGCTGACTGAATTCGAACAAGCGCGAAAGGAAAGGCGTTATGAATGGCATTTATTCGTGAAAAGCCTCGGCCGAATTTCATAGTAGGTTCTTTCACGGCGCGAAAGTGTGAAAGACTCCGGGGAAACTTTGAGCCCCAGGAAATATCCAAATACCACCGCGAAAGCGAGAACGAGCGGAAGAAAACGATAAGTGGACAACCCGCGGAGAGTGATGCGATGCAGGCCGTTCGTATGGGTTAAGGTCGGGCTTCGTTTATGGACGTATAGGATTCGAAATCCACGCGAGCCGCATGTCGACTCGAGTGTTGCTCTCTACGGCGGGTGTCTCGTCTTAATCCCGAAGAAGCAGACTGCGAGACCGGATGTGGCCTCTTGAATCCCGAACGGATTGGCATTGTTTGCTGTGGATTTACACGAAATGAGAGAGTGTTACCGCGTATAAGAACCAGTCGCTCGTATGGGAATAAAAGCGTAGCAAACACTTTCGTTTCGATTAATTAGAAAAACTATACTATATAAAATATATAAAAGTAATGAAATTAAAAATGTTAAATGAAAAACAATATTAAAACCGCGATATGAGAATAAGACATATAAAAATAAATTCGAGCTAAAATAATAACGTTCCGATTCTCTCAACCTCTCGTTTTCAATTGCAAATAAAACTTTTTGGAGAAAAATTAGAAATGTATATATAAATTTGATTTGTTAATTGAAATCTCTGTGAAACATATGAATCGTCGATAGTTCTACATTTTCTTGCATACTTCTCTCGATTATGAACTAGTCAAATGACTCTGACAGGACTTTACTTATCTTAACTCGCAAGGACACTAGATTTATAGCATGTCGCGATTAGAAAATTGATGCGTACATATACCTTTGTGTTTTCAAGCACGGTGTTGGGATAGGTCGCGCTATATAATGGCTCAGGCATTCTACGTTCGGAATCCTTATCCTGTGCCGGATATCTCCCGGGAAGGCACGTGGATATCCCGCGGACCCGTGCTGGGAGATAAAGTCTCGCCGTCGGATAGAGACTGGAATGTCAAACTGAGCGCTCACGAGCGTCTCTTCGCTCATCACACCCTAAACAGCATTCGCAGGGATCGTCGACTCGTCAGACCGCAGGTATTGATTCGAATATTGAAAGTAAAACTTTGTATCATTTATATGTATATGCAACCGCTTTTACAGGTTCCGCGCGACGCCCTCGATCTAGCACTAAACAGCGTTTATGCTCACAGTCGGGACACTCTAGTTTCGAAGAAGTACGTGCCCATCCAGCCGGAAACGCTCGGCAGAGAAACTTGGCGTGTCTTGCGAAACGAGATTAAGGTATAATACTTTGAATGTATGTACAAGCGCATCATATTCAGTAATATAAAATTTCAATAAAAAATAAGGGATATGTTTGAACATTTTTAGATATTACCGGAACCACCTAAACCAGATAGACCGATGCACGTGAGCGGTCATCCGGACGAGAAACTTAAACCGCTAGTTCGGGCACCTTTATCGGCGGACAAATCGAAGTGTCATAGCGGGCCAACTTTACCGCGGAGAATTCATCCGAGCAGCGTGAAATTAAATATCGAGGGTCCTCATATGGACCAATCGAATCCCGGATACAGTCGCAAAATCGACGGAACTTTTTACAGTATTTAAACACGGATTTGGGCGGTGTTTGAGCGGCACGCTTGGAGAACGTTCGGATTAAGCTGAAACCTGCAATTCGCCGAATGAAGCTCCCGCTTTTACAAATACCATTATCGCTATTGGCATAATCTGGCGAGATTTACGTTTTGGAACACTCCGAGAAGCAGCGAATCGTGATTGTATAATGTGGATGCGAAATTGATCGTGTTAGAAGGCTTTTGTTTACATTCACGCGTATATGATTAAATCGCGTCAATCGCCGCCGTTATTTCGCAGCATGACAAAGTATCTGATTATCCTATCTAATGCTGAATCTGATCATGTTGACAAATTTATCCAGTGGCTCGCCGACTCGTCTATTGGCTATCGCGGGCCGAGATCTCCCGATTGCCGCTCGCATTTTCGTCCCCTTTGACAGTTCGAGACGCAGGCACAGCCCAGAAGACTCGGCAGAAGCGTGAGTCAGTGCGCACCAAGTTCTCACTGCACGACTCGGCACGGCAGCGGAGCTGAAGGGACAGAATGTCCCATTACCCGGGTAATCCTTGTTTGTAATAAACCAGCGCCCCGCTGCCAGCTCGCTGCCAGTTCGAGGGAGAGAGGGTGACAGCGGAGCCACCCTCGCCGAGTGGGCTCGCGCGCGGAGGAGGAGTCATCTCCGCACGCATATGCTCCTCATGAAATATCATTTATGTTTCTCACCCCGCGCGAAAACGTCTATCTTGCGACCCGTTTGACCCGGGCTGGCACGACCCTCCGGCACCCTCGCGCCGCCAGGGCGGAATAGGCAGCACGATCCTTATACATACGTCTAATCCGGCCATGATTGCCCCGCCGACCGCCTCGTCACGAAAACTCCACCTCGGCTATGAGATGTAGTACGCTACCCTTCCTCTGTCTGACCCCATTCTCCCCAGCTCCTTTAAAACGCTTTTTGACGAACCTCGCAGCGGCGCGAGATGATGAATTTTCACGCTCGTGCGCGTTCAAGCTTTTCTTCATCATTTTTGTACTAAAAGTTAACAGATTTTTCGTTCTGTCATGGATGTGTTACGCTGCATTACATTGAATTTGTTGTCTGCGACATTATATGGTGGATACGTCGTTTGTCATTGTTTCGATTAATCGTAAACTTAGCAGTCCCGATGATAGTAATTTTTCTGTGGATTATGTCGCGGAGCGTGTCTATTGACGCGGATCCTTTTTCTTCCCCAATACAACGACGGAAAGAGGCATCGGAGCTATAAGGGAGTGGAACGATCTCAGACGGTCGTCAGGCAACGAGCGAGGTTACCAGCCAATTACTTGGCTGAACGATTTTATTTGTATTTAATTCTTATTTAATTTACTTTTTATGGTCGCGCGCGCGCGCGCGCGCACGTAGTTTCGCCGCTGCCATTAAGGAAATGGAAGGCTTCTTCGTCATTGCAAATTAACGGCCGATCGCGGTCTATCCTGTCGAATACAATCAACGTAAAGGTAAAAAAATGCGATCAATTGCACAACATAGCATTCGACGATGGAATTCACACTCCATAAAAATGTCAAATTACACGTAAGAAAATAAGCAGCCACTGCTCATACTGTCTAAAGATCGAGACGAAAATTAATCAAAACCAGTATGATTAGGTTAAATGATAAAAATACGATTAATATATTAATCAACGATATAAAGCTAAATTTTTAAAAATTAATTTTAATCCATACGGTTTCATTATTTTTAAAAACACTTTTACACAAGTAATGACCGAGCAATGATGCCGCTATCATACCAACCACGTTTGGACTGTCTCCCCTCTATCTATTCGATTCTTTCACGCGTACGCTTTTCCAGAAGGAAATTCTGCGTGAAAGTCGAAGCAAAGTCGCATTGATCCCTCCAGGATGAAGCTGTTATTCCACTGAACTTGTTACGTTATATTTATCAGCGCAGTGCACACTGGCACTACCCGTCGGGTTTTATCGTTCCTTTCGGATTTCGTTCTTCCACCGTCGTTTCAGTTAAATAGACAAAGCCGCAAATGACACAGCGAATAATAAGCAACACAGTAAATTAACCATGTAATATCCATTTTAATTCATTCTTTCTCTCGAATTAATATGAAACACACTTTCTAATTCTATGTTATATATATTGTGCGTAACGGAATTATATGTTATATAGAACATAAATAATAATTCTAAGAATGCAAACATTGTGACAATATTCGATAGAAAAAAATATTTCAAAATTCTGTCATAAATTGTTATATAACATTTTAATTCTGTAAACACTGATTTATCCTCTTTGTTCCATAACTTTTATGATATTTAACGCTTAATTTTTATATTTTATAAGTTTACCTGTACAGGTAATTTAGATATTTATGTAATTCACTTTTGTACTTTAATTTAATTAAAGTAAATTTAAAATAAAATGTTACTGTCAAAAAACTTATTCAATTAAATAGCATACGATCCTATATAAAATTTACTCCCTGATTTCGGTTTATTTGGCGTTTCTCAGCCTTCACTGACAGAAAGAGAGGAGAGAGGCACTCTAACTAGAGGCCTATGGGTGGTGACTTAGAAAGCTTATTTTCTCATTTTGGTTCAATATGGTTGCACGCGTTGGCGCGTTAATGTTTATTCAACGTTTTAAAATTATTTTAAAACAACTTGTCCCAAAGGGAAAAGGGGTATCTGACGCGAGTGTCAGGGTTGACATTATGCGTCGCGTGATTTCGAATGCGGTGGGAACAAACGGGGGACGTTCGCTATGTTATCATTTCTCGTACACGAGCTTTAAAGGATACCAACTACTAGCCGAACGAGAGAAAATCTGCGTCACTGGAAATATATTTTGCAAAAGCCGTTTCCGCGTCGATTTACGAAATACAGTGCATTTATTCACAAGTTCACAAAAGTCACATTTTACGAAATCTTTCTTCCTCTCTCTCTCTCTCTCTCTCTCTCTCTCTCTCTCTCTCTCTCTCACTCAAAGTAGTTCCAAATATTCCCACAGTATTAAATATCACACGGATATCAATAATAATTTCAAAATTGCACGAAATGTAATTTTTCGTATAAATATAGAACAAGTAATTTAATGGCATTTGCTTTTTGACAATTCGCCAAACGCATCGCGCGTTTACTATATACGTTTCCCTTAATCCCGAAATAAAAAGGAACGGAATAAATTTTAGTGCCGCGCGTAGTTTCCACTTTTTCTTGATGTTCCGCGGAATGGGCGGACGGAAGCGCGGCGCGGCGAGGAAAGAGGAGGGGAGGCACGGATTAAAACGCGGGGCGAGAAAAGGCGTCTAAACGATGGTGGAAGGTCAAGCCTGAGATTACGACAGACCCGTGCGACGTTTGCTCGTTAATTAGGGAGTTCTAATTATAGTAAATGCGTGAGCCCCCCGGACGCAGAGGTGGCGCGGAGAGATCGTGCCACGGCGGAAGCTCCGGGGATCAAAATGCAACCCTCCGCGAACGAGCCAAGATTACCTTCGAGGGTCCTCGGGCGCTTCCCTCGCTAAGGCTCGACCCACAACCTGCGCGACGACGACCGTTCTCCCGCATTTCCCTTCTGCCTCTCCTCAATCTATTCACCGTTCTTCTCTTCCTCCTTCCCCCCTTCCCCTCTCGCGTCTCCTCAGCCACGCTCTCAGATATCACCTAAAATAACAACGTCCTATAGGAGCGCGCCCGGGCGGATAGATTTTACTGCTGGTGGTGTATAACAAATGGATTAGTATTTCGGTAGACGTCTAATCCCCCTCTTCGTAGCGGCCCCGGAGATTATTTCGATTATCCGGACCTGATTTTAGTTAATTAACGCGCTCTCTTCCCCGCCTACTTCGAAAACCAGGTCCAGTCTTCTCGTTAAAGCTTTTCTCAGATTCATCGTCGATCGCCACATTGATTGCGATTATCATAATTTACGCGACTATTGAACACAATGTATCTTTTTTTACTATATAACGAATAAATATTGTATTTGAAATGATATACCTAATAAATACCTATAATAAATTGTACTATATATTATTTTTAACTACAATATATCAATATGTACGGTAACTTAGAGTAAGATGGCTATAGTTTTTTTAAATGCAAAAAACATATTGTTATTTATGTTATTTTTTAATAATGTTTGATATATTACTTCACTTAGACCTTAAAGTTACTAATATTGTTGACATTAAAAAGAAAACACTTAATAGAAAAGAAATATTACTAAAATATTACAACGTATGCATTGGCCATCTTACCTAACTTTTAGGGAAAAGGCCATGATATTAGGGGATAGTTGGCCATACATGTTTTATGTTAAAGATGTATGAAACATTTTGTAAAATGAATATATTTTTATATATTTAATATAAATACATATATCATTATATATAACATACATTATATATATTGCCTGATCAGCCTGATATTGCGTAGAAACAATTTTATCAGTAGTGTAATTAGCTTTCATAGAAAATCAGCAAAGTATACTGCTTTCTGCCTGCAAGCGTCATATAAATCATTAAAAATAAAGTTAGTCAGTTTTCTTAATTAATTTTTATCACTGTGCATACGTATATTAACTATACTTTATTGTTAATAGATATGATAGATTTTATACCCTCATTTTCTAAATTTATTTTTAACAATTCATATGACGCTTGCAGGCAAAAAGCAGTATATTTCACCGTTTTTCTATAAAAACTAACTATTGATATTGTAAAATTAATTGTTTTTATAGAAAGTAACGTGATATCAATTAGTAAAACAAGAGATTCTAACCAAACTAACCTGATAATACTTATGAAGTAAATATTGCGATATTTACTGAAACTATAACAAAATCAAAAATTTTAATATATTTTTTTGTTGCACATTATTTACTATTGTAAAGTCAATTTATAGTAAGCTGCAATCAGTTTATAATAAGTGACATTTGTCTTACAATTAGGCTGCGTTCTGCAAAGCGCATCATGCGTTTGCAAACCGAGTACCCTCTATCATGTTATCTTTGTTTAACATTCGGTGAATAACAAGGATAAAATATACATGGAGACACTCGAATGATGTTTTCGAACGCAGCTTGTTGGCCAATTTAACATGAAAAATGTGGGCCATCTTATCCGAACTGTAAGGAAAAGATGACCATAGTATTTATAAATAAATAATAAAAATAAAAATACAAATAATAGGTCACATGACAATTTATGAACCATTTATTGTGTGTGTACGTTGATTACGGCAGCTTAACTGTAATTTATTCGTCGTAGCAGCTTTTAGT